GTAGATCAGGAAAATTTTTTGTGTCTATTTCAGGGAGACAGAAGCAATTTCAGCCAATGGTTCTTTTTGGGGAGTTATTGTAATGAATTGTGCCTAGGTATCATTTTATAATAAGAAATTACTTACTAGTTAGTAGTAATAAGCTTTGTTTGTGGTAGAAAGAATGGTTATTTTGGGTAGTAACAGAATTTTAAAAAGGAAGTTTCTTCTGTCTTTTTTTTTTTTTTAAGTATTATTACAAAAGTAATACTTATTCTAAATTCAGCCTGGAACGAGGAAAGGTGATGGGGTTCCTGAGGCAAGGAAATAGGCTTAAAGCAAAGGGAACAAATTGTATAAAGGCACATAAAGTGTGGTAAATTCAAAAAATGCCATTTGCTTAGAGAGGTTGGAATATTGGAGATATATGGAAAGTAGCAAAAGATGAGACTGGCAGCTTAATCAGGGCCCAGATCATTAATGGCCTTGTTTTCTCACCAAGAACTCAAAACTTTTTAAAAGCCTGTAAAAGTATTAAAGTAAAGGAGAGATTTTTAATGGATACATTTGAAAGGGAGTTTAGTAATATCTCAGGAAAAGTATGCTCAGTGGTTCGCTATGGTGCAAAGAGACAGAAACTAGTGAGCGTGGTACTTCAGGGGTATACCAAGGGAAGAGGAGTCTGGAAAGGAGAGTGAGAAGGAAAAGCCAATGTAGTTCAAGAGATTTATTGATCAAGAACACCAGGGTTCAAAATGCCTGAGTGAGTTCAATTGATTCCACTTATTTTCTTAATTAAATCTGTTAATGGCAGTGAGTATCAATTGGGGTTCAATGCTCCAGGGCATTTTATGAGTAATCCCATCAAATTTGAAGATATGATCTATCCAGAATAAAAATGATGCAGGTAGCATTATAAAAGAATAGCTTTTTTTGTAATATTGTAAAATTAACAGCCCTGTCTATTCAGATAGTACTTGTCTCTAAGAAACTCTGAACTCATTAAACAGTAAAGCCAGACCATGTTTTCTGTAGGCTGCAGAAAGCCAAAATAACAAGCAATGGCCTTTATCCACCTAGCCTTGCCTGTTTTGGGGGGTCTGTCTGATGTTCTAATATCATTGATGCCTTATTTTTAAGCACAAATGAGTTAATTGTGATTTTCTCTTAAATATGCCATATTGTTCTTGGCCTGCCCATTCTGTCTGTCTGGCCAGCCCATTCTGCTCCTTTTTAAAGACTCAACTGAAATGCCCCAAGTCTCTCTGAAGTCCTCTCTAATGTCTCAAGTTAGTACTTTATCTTTGGTACTCATACCTTTGCACATAATTAGCACACATTCCTTCTTCTTAGACAAGCTGTTAACTCCTTGAGGACAGGGACTATGTCTCATTTATTTTGAGATGCAACCTTAGCAAATAGACAAATACTGGGCATATAAGTAGGTTCCTTGATGACTGTTCCAAGCATGAAAACCATAGCTACCCAGAGCATGGAACCTGGGCTACACTGTTGATTGCCCTGAAAAGCATGACAGATGACCATCGATATGCTTGTTTTTCTTAATGTTGTTTATCAGGCCTCCCATGAAAACATTAAGTTGTGATTCTCATCCTCCCTCTCACATGCCCCTGTCTTGAGTCATCTTGCCTATTCAATTTTCTTACACTGTCTCTATAAAAGTAATGAACAAAACATCAATCTTCTCTGAAAAAATCTTGCTTTTGCTCTCTTGATTTTATACCTTTTCAAACAAAGAATGTATTTTTAAAATCTCTAAAGCATTAGTTTTAGCCCTTTTTTGTTTCCAGTTTTTTATATTTAAATTATAGAATATAGATGGTGTGCTATATCTCAAAAAAATGCTTTGAAAACAAGGCAACAAAAAAACTTTAGTAAAGAAGTCTAATGTGTATCCAAGCACTCAGTCATTTCCCTTTCACAAGTAAGTTATAACATGCAAGATACTTGTTGCTTCAGGCTAAGAAAAAAAAATTAAGAGCTGCCTGATTTGGGACACAATTTATTAGACTGAGCACGTGTCTTGCAATTTTCATTGATTTTTTTTCCCCATATTTTGAAGCTTTGGAGAAGCCAAAAATGCTAATGTTTTAACATGGCCTCCTCACTTAAAAATTAACTCCTTTGCTCTTGTTACTTTCTTTTTGGGCAAGGCAAACAACTTTGAAGTTGTCTAAGTAAACACCTTCTAACTAGAATTAGAAAGACTCATTTGCAGAACAGCTATAGCACAGAACAAATGACACCATTTGTATTAAAACATTCTATACTTGGGTTTCTTTTTCCATGACACCCAAAGAACCATCATTTTTAGTCAAGCTAAAAGTAGATTGTAATTTTATGCTTGTAAGTGATATCTCAGGAACAAGGATGCAGAATAAATGTAGAAATAGGATTTGATTTTTAAATTAATACCATATCCCAAAATACACTTCTTTACCTTGTTGAATATATTTGAGGTCCTGCTCATGTTTCCAGGAGCTTCATAATATTTATAAAACTGGAATGGGGAAAGGGAATGTTTTATTAGAGGCAATTTTTCCGTAAAGCATCTGGGCATCTTGCTTCTGTACTTTTAGTTCAATCTCTATGAATATTATGTGCAGCTTATTACAGTCTCTCTACTTAAACACAACCCTGAAAACTGTCTCTTGCCTTCAACCTTCATTTCAGCATGGATTTTTTTTTATATGCAAAAATGCAGTCTTTGCAAGAAAAAAACAGATCATCAACATTTGCTTTTGAAACAGAGCAAGTTAGATAATCCTCAATTTCTAATAGAAATATGGTATAGAACTTCCTGTTAGATATGCCATTTAATAAAGTTTCTTTTCCTATTCCTTTATTCTTAACAAAAAGGTAATTCCTTTTGACTTTCATCTTTGAAAATTGTTTGACTAGGAACTGTTAAGAAATTGAAACAGAGCAAAGATAGAAATGCTTGTGTTCATTCCTTGCCTCACGGTGGCTCCATTTAACAACAGCATTTGTGACTCAATCTGCAAAGAACCTCAAAGTACTTTTCATTTTTTCCTTCTCATCACCCACCACCCACTTTTCTTCTCATCTTCCTTGTTCGTATTCCTCCTCCTCCAAATTAAAGCTGTGTTGCCAAATTAGCCATGTTTGGGGGCTCATGCCTGTAGTCCCCGCAACTTGGGAAACTGAGGAAGAAGGATCCCCTGAGCCCAGGAGGTCGTGGCTGCAGTGAGCTATGATTGTACCACTGTACTCCAGTCTTGGAAATAAAGAGAAACTGACTTTAAAAAATAAAAATTAAAACTAGATTGCCATAAGAAATAGAGGGATGACAGAAGAGTGATCAATCAAGTATAGTAAATTGTAAATAGTAGAATCTAGGGGGAAGGTACAGAGGCATTCACTGTAAGATTTTTTCAGCTTTGCTATATGCTTGAAATTTGTCATAATAAAATCTTTTAGGAGTGATTGTCCATTAAATGGCAGGAATTTTTACTTATTCTGTGTTTAAATACTTTATATTATTGGAGAAAAATTAAGATAATATTTTTAAAGGCAACATGAAATTATCTTCACAGATGAAGTCACCAGACTATTAACTTAAATGTTCCTCATGTTTGAAATTTATATTCATTCATGCTATTAATAAATAATTAATGATGTGCCCAAGGAATAAGCAGTATACAGATTACATCATTACAATAGGGAATTGGTGGCATTGATGTATGTATAAGCAATGAAATACTATGCAGCTGTTAAAATGTATAGAATAGAAACAAATGTACTGACATGGAAAGATATTTATATGTTTAATATCCTGGCTATAAAACTAAGAATTTATTAATATAGCTGGAAGTACCATTTATATACTTAAAATGTTACCTCTTAATTATGAGATTATGAATTTTTTCTTATATAGATCTTTTTATCTTTTTAACTTTTTTCTAAAAGAATTTTTAAAATTTACTTTAGTAACATAAGAAAGAAGGTAAACAGAAAAGAATAGAAAAGAAAAAAGCCATGCTATTTTTCTGTGAAAATGGGACAAGGAAACTTTGACATCTTTAATTTTTAATCAGACCAAAAGGATTACTGGAGTTTTCCGTTTATATCACAGAAATCTCTCTTACATTTTCTTAATCTTGCTCTTGTAAAAAGTGCACTTGAAAAATGTAAAAACAAATAATTTCATTCATTTTTCTGAAGATATTTTTGTGGACTTGACTAGTGGCTTTTGAAAGGAAAGTTAAGATGTTTTCATGCTGCGGGGCCTAAGGCATTTTATGCTTGGAAATACCCTATCTTTAATCTAATTATTAAATTTCTACGTCTGACTCATGAGGAAAGGGAACTTCAAAGCAGAAAAGGGAAAATCCAATTTCTCTCTAAATACAATAATCGTTGATATATTTCAGATAACTTAACACCTATGCTCCAAGATTTCCAAGTGTCCTACCAGAAGAATTAAGAGTTCAAGGATGTGTTGGTTAAATAATAAAAAATGTTTTTACTTATTATAGATCCCTCTATAAGGAAACATAAACAATGAGTTGAAATTAGGTAATCTTTACAATATGTCTAAGAAAGGATAGAGGGGAAAGACAATTACTGGGGTGTTGTTTTTTCAGCCAACATTTATTGGACACTTTATGACTCTGAACTTAATGTTTCAGTTATTGTTTCCATGCTTTAGAAGACATATTTTTCCCATAGATTTTTTCTTTCAACAATTATTGAAATAAAATCTGGATAGAAATAAAAGTAAAATAAGCAAAATTAGAGTTTATCTTAAGGTTCCAGTTGTCTAATCCTTTCATAGTTGATTATATGGAATTTGTAATTTATTAGTGTGTGTGTGTGTGTGTGTGTGTGTGTGTGTGTGTGTGTGCGCGTGCGCGTGCACGCGCGCGCGCTCCTGCCCCTCCTCCTCTTCCATATTGGTAGTCTATTCCATGTATGTCTTTTTGGTCTTCACAGTATATAATGTTTTATGTTCTTTATCCCTTGTTTTTCTCAGGTAAAATGTCCAGTGATCGAGCTTTGAGGAAGCAGCAACAGTTAAACAACCTTGTTTATGTGGTGACAAATCAGGCCAAACCTGGTGACAGAATTGTGGATTTCTGCAGTGGTGGGGTATTACATCTTTCCTTTTATCCTTTTTTAGCCTTTCTAAGACTTATGTGACTTTCCTATATTACATTCAAGGTCATGTTTTTATTTGGCAAGATTGTTGTCTCAGAATGAGCAAAAGCCAAGGGAACCAAAGTTAACTTGTTTCTTTCACTGACTTTTTCAGGGCCATGTTGGAATTGTCCTTGCTCACATGTTGCCATCATGCCAGGTAAGGTCTGGATAAGAGATTAAAGGAAATATTGAAAAACTGTGCAGTTTACCAGCCAAATCTGGCTTATCCCTGCTCTTTGAGTTTCTAATCATTCACCCAAGTCTAATATGTGGCACAGGCATTTTCTTTTTTCTTTGAAGTAAATTTCTAAGATTCAGAATCTTAAGGGGGAAAAAAAAAAACTAGAACCACAAAACAGTTATCTATCTTTAAAGGAGGTTCATATGTTTAAGTAATTTTAAAAAGAACTATTTTATTGTTAAATAATTATGTTTCAACTAGATTAATTTCCAACATAATTTTAAATGGAAATACTGGTTTCTGAAACTTGCTAAGCACATTCTTTTGGTATCTTGATTTTGATAAGTTGCATCAAAACTGTACCAATAACAAATTTTTTTAAAGAAAAAAAAATCCTCAAAACCTACTATGATCCATTAAATGCTTTTCTATTCTTGTTCTCATTAAGTCATTGTCCATATGGATGTTTATTATTATAAATTCTAAAAATGCAAATATAATTTTAGTTCCCTGCTTTCACTCAATATTGTATCATAAATGTTTTTTCTATTGCTACTAGTTTTACTTATATATCATCATATTTTAGTGACTGCATAAAATGTTTTTAAGTAAATAAACCATAATTTATTCAATCATTACCACAGTTAGAGGTGTGAGCTGTTTTTAGTCTTCTGCCATATTATTTAGTCAATTCATCTTTTAGCATTTTTAACTTTTTTAAATTAAATTTTTAAATTATACTTTAAAATTTATATTAAAAGCTTTTTAAATAATATTTTAAAAAATTTTTGACATTTAAAAAGTACAAATTCAACTGGGGCTGAGTCATTACTTGTGAGCTCCCTAGAAGTTGTGAACTAATTACAGTGAATACTTCCAGAGGGAAAAAATTGTGGAAGAACAGATAGACTGGCCAGAATGACATGTAACAGAATGATTGGTAGATGAGGGTAGAAAGGGATTGTTCATTTCTTTTCTTAGAGAATAAAGAGGAAAATAAACAAGGAACCTTGGAAGAAAAGGTGTCTGCTTTATTTTTAAGGAAAGCAACAATTTCATGATTAAGAGCCCACAGAAATCCTGGAGAAACAAAGTCAGGGATGTAGCATACTTTCTTCCCTTCCTAATAGTTCTGGAAGCTTACACAGGTTGAAACTGGAAAAGGGAGATCTTAACTAGAATAAAGACCTTTGACATTAAGTTTACACTAACAGGTTTTTTATACAAAGGGACTCAGGATCTTTTCATAAGGACAAAATATGTGCTAGAAATGCTAGTGATAAAAGTGACTTAATTCTGCCCATTTTTCTGCATCCACTGTCTTCTCTGTCTGGATTACCATTGGAGACTTCTAAGTAGTTTCCTTGCCTTCTGCCTCACCCCCATCAATCCATACTACCCACTGCAGACTCCTCTTTTATCATAAATGTATGATCTAGCTCCGGTTTCCCTCTCCAGTCTCATTTCCACCCTCCACACTTTGTCCCCTCAACCCCACCGTCACCATCACACACACGGTGCTCTAGCTATACCAGTTTTTTTTTTCTCTTTCAGTTCTTTCAATATTCCATGCTCTTTCTTACCTCGGGCCTTCATACTTGTTTCTCTCTCAGCCTGAAACACCCTTCCATTCCCCCAGCCAATTTGTATTTATCTTTCAGACCTCAGTTAATGTGTTATCTCCCTCACAAAAATCTTCCTTAGTTGTCAAGTCTGAGTGCTCCATTGGCCCTGTTTGTTTTTCATAATACTACACTATGAGAATAGTTAAAGGACTGTTCATTTTTCCTTTGTGTACCAGGTTATCTGGCATACTTCCTACAGGATAGGGGTTCAATATAATATGTTCTTCATTATTAAAGCTATGAAACACAGTTATAATGCTTTGCCTAATGTCAAAATTACGTTACTGAGAATACTATCATTTCCTCTAAAATCTAGGTTACATTAGTAGAAAACAAGGAATTATCATTAATTCGTGCGAAGAAGAGAAGTGATGAACTGGGTTTGAGCAACATTTGGTTCATTCAAGCAAATATGGAGTATTTTATAGGGATGTTTAATATTGGGGTAAGTTATCAAGCAATTTCAATTTCTTTAATTAGTTAAATATGAAAAATTGCATGCCTTAGAGTAAAGGAGATAATTTTATATTCTTTGCTAAACAAAAAAATCTATAACTTTGTATACTTCTATTATTTATAAAGTATAGCGTACTAATTAATATTATTTTATTCATAGCACTTCATCATTACATAATAGAGATAACATTTTCTCTTCCACCAGACAAGAACTTTATTTTCTTCACCACAGACTCCCCCGTGCTTAGAATAATGTTTGGCACATAGCAAGTGCTTAAAAATGGTTAATAATTAAATGAACGAATTATAATGAAGATGCCCTTCCTTGGTTTATTCTGCATTTTTAGGAGACAATGGAAGAAAGAAAAACAAAGATAATTTTTAAAAAGAGAGTAGCTTGTTAGCAACTTCTAAATACTTAGCTTTACCTTTAGATATTTTCTTTAACTGAATTTGATGTCTACATGTACTTTAGCTTCTAAGGGAAAGACAGTATATTGATCATGTTTCTAAATTCTTAAATCAAATTGTTCTTATTTGATATTACCAAAAAGACCTAAAATATGTGATTCTGCCTAATCATTAAAACCCAAGATTATGTGTTATCTTGTAGAATTTGAGTTTTATAAATGTGTTAGTGTTACTGCTATGTCCTATATTGTTTTTACTAATATTTTTTCTGACATTGTTAGGAATGTATGTTCAATATTTTTAAAAATACATAATAATATAGAGAAGAAATCACCTATGTGCCTCCTACTAAGTGATCAATACTATCAAGTATCTTTGGCTTTTACATATTTATGCACCCATATATGTGCATATGTATACATATACTAGCAATGTTAAGACCATACTACATAAATCCTAAACATTGTCATAAATCGTTTCCCTATTTTTTAATCATTTTTTAAATTTGTATTTTATTTTATTTTACACTGACTGTCCACCTGGCACTGGCCCAGGCAAAGGCCGAGCTGGAGAAGGCTTATGTTCACCTAGGGGGGAACCCTGCTTTTTCACTGGGTGTGGAGCAGAGGCTGACACAGCTCATCTCTTTTTTTTTTTCGCTCTTGCTGGTATAACGTAATTATTACTATGATGAATACTTTATGGCATTGTTTAATATTTTTGATACATTTGCCTAATCACTTTCCAGAAAGGTCTTACCAATACCATTTTCAATTGTATGTAGTCACATAAACATGGGCTTGTCAAGGTGAAATTTTTATCCAGTTTCAGAAGCTCAGACCTTCTAATAGTACTTCTGATTTGCCCAGTGAAGCTTATTTGTTTGTTTGCTTGCTTGCTTGCTTGTTTTTAGAAACAAGATTTCACTCTGTTGCCCAGGCTGGAATACAATGGCACAATCATAGTTCATTGTAACCTTCAACTAAATCCCAGGCTTAAGCAATCCTCCCACCTGAGCCTTCCAAGTAGCTAGAATTATAGACATACACCACCATACCCTGCTATTTTTTTATTTTTTGTAGAGATGTGGTCTTACTATGTTGCCCAGGCTGGTTCTAAACTCCTGGTCTCAAGGAATCCTCCTGCCTTGGTTTCCCAAAGTGCTGGGATTACAGGCATGAGTCACTATACCTAACCTCCAATGATGTTTATTTCTTAAATATTGACACTGCAAATTTTGGGTTTTGCTGTTATGTTTTTTAAGCCAAAAAGCAATTTATTTACTTTATAGCCACATTCTAGAGAGGTTATCTCATGCCAGGCCTATATAAAGAGAAGTAACTGTTCTTAAAAACTGTTAATAAGGTTACTATTAATAAGGAAATTCAGGAAAATGTAGACATCTGATTCAGAAAATTCAAATTAAAAATATACCTATGTGCAACTTTAATTTTACATAAATGTTGAGGTAAGGGTTAAAGCTTCCCACAGAACAAGCCATTTAGCCAGTCTCTCCCTGTGTTACCAATACACTAGGCAGAATGTTTAAGATAGCAAGACATTGCTACCCCTTTATTCACCTTTCAAAACACATTTCCAGCTTCTATCTGTTCTTTATGTCTGTATGATCTTTTTGGGTTATAGTTGCTAAATCATTCTAACATATTCTTGTAGTTCCAAGTTTGTAATTCATTAACACCAACTAAAAATGTAAATATCTTTTGGGGAGCAACATTTTTCTCTACATTTCATAATAATACACCTATAATGACTTTTTCCTTCTATAATTACCTTTGTCAAGGTATATAGAAAATGAATTTAAATTACTTAGAAAGTTAAACCAAACTTAGATTCACTCTCAAGAAAAGAATTTGGCCTAGGAGGGTAATTGAGTTATTGTCGCTAGAAAAATCAGACTAAATGCATCAGTGGCTCTAACTCTTGTGTTAAATAGATTTCAGTAAAAATCATGTAGCTAGAGAGGAAACCAGAGTAACCAAGTATGGGAAATGCATTAAAACTGCATTAATCCATAATTTTATGATATTTCAATAAAGGCTTAGTTGGCATTTATCTTTGCTTAGTAAATACTTTTGTATTTTTCTTTATATAAAAAATTTTGGGAGATAATTGTGAAGTCTTAGAACCAACTACCTTTAAGAACTTTAAGCAAATCATTTATACATAAAAATTGAAATACTAATTGTTAGTCTTACCTCCATTAATACAATCTGTACCAGGAGAAAATAAATAGACTTACTAATAATAGGTTTGATAGGTTAATTTTGTTAACCTAGTTTTATTTGAAATAATCAATGGGAACAAACCGAAATGTTTTCAGATCTTTCTTTCATCATGATATTCCAACAACCCAATGTACTGTACCACCCTCATTTAAGGACTACATTGTGTTTATATGAGAAATATATTTCTTTAGAAATACAGAGGTCTAAGAAGCAAATAAAAAATTCAAAAATGTCTAGTAATTTTAATTTAAACAATGATGATACTCCATTTTGTTCTTGAAATTTTTAAATATTTAAAAAATATGATTACTCATTGGCTGCAGGGCTTCAGTGAGATTTGACAGTTTACAAATATACTTGATTATGAGAGCTTTGACAGTTTACATGACATTTGCAATGATTTGTTAATTACATGAAAAATGAGTTATATGAAAAACAAAGAAATAAAACTATCTAAGCATATTGTTTAAGAACATAGATTTTAACATTGGGCAATCTTTTGCTGAAATCCCAGGTTGGCACTTACTTGCCTTGGACAAACTTATTTAAACTTACTAATCTTCAGCTTTCTCACCTATAAAATGACATGAAAATACTTGGCTGATGGGGTGTTGATACAATGTATATGATGTACTCAGAAAGTTGCCTGCCATTTTTGAAGTACTCACTAAATCGAACCTTTTACTTGGTGCAGTGTGATCTCAATTATGTAAAAACTGCATAAAAAATAATGTGAAAAAATCATGCTAATATGTATTATTTTGAGGTAGCTATTGCTGTATGCTGTGTAATAATATTTTACCATTTATTATTTTTGATATTTCAAAATTTCCTACATTTAACATGTTATTTTATATTCATAAACATAAGCAATAAAGATAGAAAAATAAATATATATGTTTAAAATTATACATTTATAAACATAAATGTGTATTTATTTGATAGATAAGATATATTATTTCTTCAAAACAAGTATTTATTATAGAAATATCTTTTAGTTGATTTATTACTATTGTGATTATGACTGTTACTGTCCTGAAGAAAATATACAAGTCTTTTTGAAAGTAAAAAACATTCAGAAAGGTTTAAGGATTTTCTTTTTTTCCAGTTTCATTATATATAGCTGCATGACTCTGATTTAAGTGTATATTGATTATGTATTGATCCTTAAAGGACAATCTGCAAAAGATTGTTTGTAATAGTGTACTTTTAAAACAGCACTAATATCGCTTCTTGTCTAGTGTGGAATAAATAATCATTATTGTGAAAAATTACTTTTCTAAAATATTTTAGTTGGATGACTCCAACAATAACAGTCATCTCAACCAGATTAAGGTGTTGATTTCCAACAATACTGATGAATCTTTTCTATTTGTCAACATATATCAAAATCTCAAAACAGTTTTATTTTAAAGTTCTTTGTATTTAGTTTTTTCTATTTTAACATTTTTTCTATTTTCACCATAAGTCATTTTTAATATAATTATTTATGACTTATCAGGGCTGAGTGCTTAGTTGCAAACTCATTTCTAGTTATGTATGTATGTTAATATGCAATTAAAAGGAACATGATTAGCCAGGTACAGTGGCTCACACCTATAATTCCAGCACTTTGGGAGGCTGAGGTGAGTGGATTGCTTGTGCCCAGTAGTTGAAGACTAGGGTAAGCAACATAGTTAGACCTTGTCTCTACAAAAAAATGAAAAAATTAGCCAGGCATGGTGGCACACACCTGTAGTCTCAGCTACTCAGGAGGCTAAGGTGGAAAGATCTCCTGGGCCTGGAAGGTTAAGATTTCAGTGAGCCATGATCATGACAATGCACTCCAGCCTGGAAAACAAAGTGAGACCCCCAACTCAAAAATAAAAGGAAGAAAGAAAGAAAGCATGGGCAATTATAGACTGGAATTAAATAACATTTTTGATGAATAATTATATAATATTTAAAAGATAAAGAACATGAAAAATTATATATTCTACAGGCACAATTTTTAAAAATCATCAAGGCAAAATATAGAATTTCCAAGATGAAAATGGTAGATAGAGGTATTTCAACTCATTTTCTCCTCAAAAAAAGTTCAGATTCCAAAATAACAAGAACATGCACCAGGAAAATCAAACTCCATCTCTGATGAAACTATATTCTAGATTCTATCACTTGAATCACAGTATGAACTATGAAGGTGAAAAGCAAATGGAAGAAAAATGATGATACTGAGTAGCGAGGAGAAAGACCAAATTATAGCAGAGCTGGGTAGCAAGAAAGGAGGCAAGTAATTTTGCTCCCACAAAATCTTAGAAAAGTTGAGAAATTTAGAGCCCTATAAACCTCA